CACACACACATTCCCCAGTCCCTAGGAGGGATATCTAGAATGGGGACAACATGAAACACCCCCAAAAGTAGTCTTGCTAAATGTGCAGCCACCGGTTCCCTCCTTGATCTGGGAGAGTTCCCAGCCAGCACCTTGAAATCATCTTTTGAGCATGTAGAGCTTTCCCTAGAAGGGAGCAATCCCCTTTCTGACAAGTAGCCAGTTGCCCAATAATTCCCAGTCATCCCTTCCACCAAGTCACAGACGCCCTCATACTCCTACAAAGAGTAGAGGATACCAGCCTCTCCTCCCCACCTCCTCCTAGCCCCAGATGGTAGGAGTCAATGGCAAGGGGGAGACCACGTTGTCAAGTTACCCTTCCCCCAACCACTTAGTATCCCACCATCCTTTCTAGTGTTTCTTGCCTTGATATGATGGAGACCCCAAACAGCCACCCAAACTCCCTTCCCAGGCTCCAGACATGGTAGCGGGAGGTTCCCTCTCCCCAAAGGAGACCCCCCCCATCAAGTTCTTCACAGACATTTAGTTCTTACCATCTAGGATGGGATACCCCTTTCCTGTTCTCCCAAATATCACCAAACCCCCAGCAGATGACACTCCCTAAAGAGGGGTTTTCCTTATTAAGCATTCCACCTGCTTTGGTGGAGGTGGGGGGGCCTTTCTCATTCAAGTCTCCTAATCTCCAAGATCTCCCCTTTCCCCAGCCCCCCCAATCCATTCTGCTTTTACCAGTGGTTGCTCCCCATTCAGAGGTCCCAGGATATAGCGGGGAAAAGAAAGCCTTCTCTTCCCCTATAATGCCCCCCAAGTTTACACGGGGAACCCAGCTCATATTCTAGCAAGCCGTATCTCTAGGCTGGGCACATTGGGAGGGGGTACCGAGGAGAAGACAGAGAGATTGGGGGGGCAGGGAAAGTAAAGGGCAGATTCCCTTCTCTTCCCTCCTCCTACTTCTCCCCCCTCTCCCTCCTCTCCCTTCCAACTCCCAAATTGGGGGCCGGACTGTGAGGCCCTGATTGGCTGGGCAGCGGGTGGCCCGTTCCCCCTCTCAGTGGGGGCTGGATCCCTCCTTCCCTGGGATCCCAGGACAGTATAAAGAGGGGCCCAGCACAGGCATTGTAGCAGACGGGAGTTTCTCCTTGGGGTCTGAGCAGGAGGTACCCAAGAATCTCAGGCCGCGCATGAGTGGACGGTAACCCCCCAACCCCAAGCCCCAAAGAGTCTACATGTCTAGGACCTAGACATGTTCAGCTTTGTGGATGCCCGGCTCCTGCTGCTCTTAGCAGTCACTGCCGTCCTCACCCATGGCCAAGACGAAGAAGACAGTAAGTTGGAAACTTTTTTTGGGGGGGGGGGGGATGCGTGTAAGTGGAGGAGTTCATTTATCAGTGTCTCATTAACACACTTCCTGGGCATTTTCTGCTTGAGCTGGATTGCTCGGGGTGTAGAGGGGAGTCTTCATAGACGAGCGAGAGTTTGAGGCAGTAAGGGATGTATTTTTTGAGGGAAGGGTGACACCCCATCAGAGAGAAGCAGGTTGAAGAGCAAGCTCACAGTGAGTTAGGTGGGTGAGAGAGCTCAAAGAAGACCCCGTGGACAATAGAACAAGTGTTGTTGGGGGCTTTAAAAGGAGGGGAACTGGGGGACAAATGAGGTGTGGGTGGTGGACTAGGATTATGGAACCCAAAATGCAAAAGCCAGCAGGAAGGAATTAAGGATGATTCATAGGAAAAACGCTTTTGCAGACTCTGCAGTCTAGACGCAGTTCCAAGCTCCTGGGATGCTTGGGGGCTGCTGCAAGTGGAGGGGTGGGGTGTGCGAGGGATGGGGGGTTGTGGGGGCAGGAGGAGGAGAAACTTGAGTGGGGCGGGGACAGGGTGGAATTCCAGCGCCCTCTGCTGGCCCCCTGGGGGAGTAGGTTCCTGCGCCTCCCCTTGAGTTCAAGGTAGCGGAACACCACAGCGCATCGCCCGCTTCCGGGGAGGCGGGAGGGAGTGGGGTGGGGAAGGGGGAGTTTGGGCGGGATATCTGGGCAATCCCTCAGGCTCGCTGGGGGCCGAGGGAAACCGTCCTCCCCTTTTATCCCGCCTGAGTCCATTCCCTAGCGCTGCGTGCCACCTCGTGGTGAACCATGGAGTTGCACGCGCGGGGGTTGAGAGGAGGGACTCAAAAGGACTTTTTGCGGAGTTTTCTATTTTTCTTATTGTTTGGTTCAAAATCACTTAAGGACCCAGAAAGAGCTGACTCAGGGAAGTGAGGGTAGGGCGCGACCATTAGGTCTCGCTTTGGAGGTGTCTTTGTATGATGAGAGAAAAGGACCAAAGGGATGAGAAAATCAGGATAGACGTTAGGGCGTGTCTTTTGGCTTGGAGGAGCACAATAGTCTTTTGGGGTGACTCCCTCCCTTGCTTCCCACTTTCATTCGTCCTCCTCCAGACCACTTCTCTTTCTTTCCTCCCATTGTCTTTTCTCTATTCCTCCCCTCTCCACCTGCCCCCTCTGAAGAATCTCTCCCCGTGACCCTCTTCCTTCTTCCCATCCCTACCCAAATCTCCCCCCCCTTCCACACTTGGGGCCTTTTCTGTTCCATTCTCACCACCCTCTCCCCCACCCCCAACTTTTATTTGACTTGGCCTCGCCCCAATGAACTAAGGTCGGAACTGGATGGAACAATTGGCCTAAAGCTTTGTTTAAATTCCTAAACTGGAAAGAATTAGAATGTCTCTGGCCCTGAGCCTTTGCTGTCACTGAGCCCCTGATGAGAAGCAGATGAGTCTTAAGGGTTGGGGGGCGTGGAGATGAACAGATGCTGAGGGTGTAGGAAGTGACAAATCCAATGCTTCCCTGGCTCTGGGGAAGAGGGAGAAAAACGAGCTGGTTGTAGGACCCCTCTGGAGTGCTGGGTAGAAAGGTTCCCCTTCCCCTCCCCCAATCCCCTGTTGACTCAGCCCTTCCAACTTTGCCCCCAGTTCCAGAAGGCACCTGTGTACAGAATGGCATAAAGTACAACAACGGGGAAGTATGGAAACCTGAGACCTGCCAAATCTGTGTCTGCGACAACGGAAGCATCCTGTGCGACGAAATCATCTGTGAAGACGTTTCCAACTGTCCCAACGTCCAGTATAAAGACGATGAGTGCTGCCCCTCCTGCCTTGGTGCCGATGCCGGTATGGCCCTCCCGGCGCTCCATCCCACCAATCAACGCCTGCTGTCCCTTCTCCTCGCTTCTTTCCTGACTTTCCAAGTCATGCAGTGGACCTGCCTCTCTTCTTTCTCTTCCTCCCCGCTCCCTCCCCCATCCTACCCCACTCTTATTCAATCTTCTCTGACCACTAGAGGTCTTGGTTTTTATGGGGACCTGGGGTAGGATTCTAGTCCATCCCTACCCCTCTGCTGTCAGTCACCCTCTGATTCTTTCTCTCTTCCTCCCAATAGCTTCACCATCCTCTCCCGGAGAAACAGGAGCCGAGGTAAAGAATAGTTCTTGGTTTTTTGCCTTACTCATGTATATCCTCCTCCATTGCCCATCCACTTGTCTAACCTTTGTTCCTTTCTTCTTTTTCCTCCAACCTCACAGGGTCCCAAAGGAGATACTGGACCCCGAGGTGAAAGGGTAAATTTTTAAATCTCCTTTGGAAGTTTGGTGGTGGACAGAGGATATGGGGCCTGCTTTGTGGCTCACATATTGGCATTTGCTTTCTTTCCCTGGCAGGGACTCCCAGGCCCACCTGGAAGAGATGGCATCCCAGGACAGCCTGGTCTCCCCGGCCCCCCTGGTCCCCCTGGTCCCCCTGGCCTTGGAGGAGTAAGTATATAATCAGGTCCTTCTTGAAAGGATTTTTCCCCCTACCACCAACTGACCTGACGCTTTCCCTCTCTCTCTCTTTTCCCCCTAGAACTTTGCTCCCCAGATGTCTTATGGCTATGATGAGAAATCAGCTGGCATCTCTGTGCCTGGACCTATGGTAAGCTCACTAGGGCAAAGGGAGGCCAGGAAAGCAATCAATCAATAAACATTTATTAAGCACCTACTATGTGCTAAGCACTGTGCTGAGGACTGGGGATACAAAAAAAGGCAAGTAAGTTTGGAGACCTTGAGAAGGAGTTGGGGCCAGAAGGTCACTCATCTCCATATTTGTTAGGTCTTGTTAGGAGGTAAAGACCTATTTTGGAATTTCAAGAATGGCTAAGGACAACAGAGAACCCATGGGAAATGAAAGATAGTGTTCTATGCCTTGCATTTCCCTTCTAACTGTCTTCATTGTTTCTCTTTTCTCTCCTTAGGGACCCTCTGGTCCTCGTGGTCTCCCAGGGCCCCCTGGTTCACCAGTAAGTATCTGTGGTCTTTCAGTCACTTGAAGATCTTCAGCCTGAGTCTGCTTTGGGATGCCATAGGGAAAGGATAGGGGAGAGGTGCTCAGGATTCTCTTTCTGGGGCATTCAGATATTGTCAGGGGCCCCATGCTGCCTGCCTCTGGCAGGTGAGAAACCGTAAGTAGGATGATGGTGATGCTAATTAGCCTGATGAAGATTATGTTAATTAGCACAAAGTAGACAATTAACAGATAGATGTTGAGTTTGAATGATGGTGGTGAATGAAGAGGATAATGGTGACGGTGCTGACAATGGCAGGGATGAGAATCTTATGGTGATGACGCCCTTCTCATGCTTCCCCAATCTCTTCCTCCTCCAGGGTCCCCAAGGTTTCCAAGGCCCCCCTGGTGAACCCGGAGAGCCTGGAGCTTCAGTAAGTGGTCCTACCAACTCCATCTTCTCTGCCCTTCTCCTTCCTCCCATTCATCCACCATGCAACAAGTATTTCATTCATGTACACATCTTCCCCCACCAGAAAACCCCCGCATGAACATATTTTTAAATGAAGGGTATCTTCATCTTAATAATAATTAATATTTATATAATGCTTTATGTTTGGCAAAGCACTTTACATATTTTATCTCATTTTATCCTCACAACAGCTTTGTGAGGTCAACTCTATAATGACCCCCATTTTATGGATGAGGAAACTGAGATGGAGAGAGGTTAAGTGACTTACCCAGGGCCATACAGATAGTGAGTGTCTGAGGCAGGATTTGAACTCAGTCCTTCCACACTCCACATCCAGGGGTCTCCCTACTGTGCCACCTACTGTCTCTTTTTGCAAACTTTGTCCTCTTCCCTTCAGATACACTCTTGAGGAAGTGTTTACCCATAGGTACCCCCCCCCATCTGCCTTATTCCATTTTTGCATTTTGCACACACTCGTACCAGGATGAGCCTAACCTTCTTTGTGTGTCTTCTAGGGTCCCATGGGTCCCCGAGGTCCTGCTGGTCCTCCTGGCAAGAACGGAGATGATGTAAGTAACCCCTGAGATGCATACTATCCTTTCTCCCTCCTCTTGCCCACCGCAGAGAAGCCTGCATTCCCTTTAATTCAATGCTACACCTCCCATTAGGGGCTCCCTCAAAGGGAGACTGTGTTGAAGGAGAGGCATTCAAAATGGAACATGGATTTCTTCCTGTTGCACAACACCTTTGGGGTCACTTGGGAACTGTCCTTCTCTTTAATCCTCAGGGAGAATTTTCACCTTCAGTATTTCAAGCATAGACTGCTTTCTGTTTTTTGCACAATAGGTCCATAGACCATACCAAGAGGCTTGTAACTAAGCCAGAGAAAATGGCTTGGCCAGGCTTACTACCTCAGAGCAACACAAATTTGTACCCAAGCCTAGGAGACTGGGATGTTAACTATTTAATGATTGGTGCAAATATTTCTAATAAAGGAAGCATTTAAGGCTTTAATTTGCTCCAGAAATAGGGCTAAATGAAATCATATTCATTAAAGCCTGACCCTCAGTCCTTAATAGCTCCAAGAGAACCTGTCATCATTCCAAGCTTCCCCTGATTGACTAGTCCAGTCCAGTTCCTAACTGGTGAGCAATAGTTTGGCATGACAGCAGGAGACTGGGTGCAATGACCCTTAACAGAGGTTCCCCTTGATGACTTCCTTTCTTCCTTTCAGGGTGAAGCTGGCAAACCTGGTCGTCCTGGTGAACGTGGTCCTCCTGGTCCTCAGGTGAGAGAGGCCTTGGGAGAGGCCTAGAACCCAGGCTTTTGAGCCTTCCGGTATTGGGTTCCTTAGCAGAGCCAGTATAATCCTGGAAACTCCCCCTACTGATCGTTGTGAGTCCTACATGGGCTGCCTCTTCTCATGGCTTTTAGATTTTAGTGACTGGAAAGGTGATGGAGCTTAGGATGGGGTTAGGTGTGAAAATAACAATTGCCTTCACCCATTCTGTCTCTGTTCAAGAGATTTACTCCATGAAGGACCCTCCACCTTTTACTTAACAGGGCACCCTTCCATTGTCTTCTGCCTTTATTTCTATTCATCCTTCTGCTCTTTCTCTCCAGGGTGCTCGAGGTCTGCCCGGAACTGCTGGTCTCCCTGGCATGAAGGGACACCGGGTAAGCCTTCTCTTGTCCATTTCAGTCTAAAAAATCTCAAATTAACCCACTCTCAGCCTTCAAGCCGCCAAAGGGCTCTGGTTTGAAGAATTTAGTAAAGGGTCCTCAGAAAGTGAGAGAGATTTAGGTTAGGTATCCAAAAAAAATCTTCCTTTGAGTAGTTTGGATCTTGGAAGGTATTGCTGAGTAAAGAAGTAGAATCATCACTAAAAACATAAATGAGAGAAGGGAAGAATCAGGTATCCTTATGGATGGAATGGTTGACTGTCAATTCAGTCTAGAGTCAGGGGATATGTGCAGTGACCATTTCATAAACAGGTTCCATTCTTACTGGCTTGTGTTCTCATTCCAAGCCTCCAAAAATGAATGTTAACCTGAATGGAGGCTGTGGGATCTACCCTTTTCCCCCCTAGGATTTCACTTTGGTGTCTCTCTTTTTCTATTCTTTTAGGGTTTCAGTGGTTTGGATGGTGCCAAGGGAGACAGTGGTCCTGCTGGTCCTAAGGTAAGAGATCACTTTTTAGGAGTGAATAACAGCTTTCTTTCATCTCTCCCTTTCTTTTGACAAAAAAATTTCATTCTTATCCCTCTGCTTCCTAGGGTGAGCCTGGCAGCCCTGGTGAAAATGGAGCTCCTGGACAAATGGTAGGTGTGCTAGCTCCTTGAAGAGCAGGGGAGACAGAGGGCCCCCAAGATGAGGGTGGCAGGGCTGCAGGAGGTAATCTCTTGGGAGAAAAGAGAGCCCTCCACAGTAGGCTTCTTGAAGACACCTTTGGCATTCTGGGTGCTTATAAAAAGCATAGTTAGGGGTGTCTGGAGAGGTGATGGGGATAGAGAAAACCGCACCCCCCCCTTCACTCTATCTCACTTTGCTTCTCTTGGTTTTCCTCAGGGCCCTCGTGGTCTTCCTGGTGAGAGAGGCCGCCCTGGACCCCCTGGCCCAGCTGTAAGTATCACATGATTCAGACATTCTGGATGCCCTTTGGGCACTGCAGTGACTTTTGGCTGGCCTGAGCAGTCCATAGGCATTAAATATAAGCATAACTGATGTTTCCTCCTTTCTTTTCTTTTCAGGGTGCTCGTGGTAATGATGGTGCAACTGGTGCTGCTGGACCCCCAGTAAGTATGCCCAAAATTCCTTGTGGTGCCACAGAGATTGGGAAAAGGGGGACTTCTTGGGTCAGCTTCTGTCGTCATGGGCAAATGAAGATCGCTTGGGACAGGATTTGGGAGACATAGAGGCTCTTTGTCTCTGGGCCTCTTTAGATACCTTCCCACTCTGGCTGGGAGGGTCTGAGGGCTTCTCTCCTTCTTTCCACTAAGGTCTCCCCTTCTTTTCCAGGGTCCCACTGGTCCTGCTGGTCCCCCTGGTTTCCCTGGTGCTGTTGGTGCTAAGGTGAGAATCCATACATCCTGTACACTTCCTTCAACCTCTTCCTAGACACAAGGGATCCTTAAACAGATAGATCCTCATCCCATCCCCATCCTAGCTGGGCTGCTGGGAGTTGAGAGAGTAGTTTGGAGCTAAATTGGCCAAGGGCCTTGCTTCTCATGGGTCAACAGACAGTGCCCCAATTGAGAATGATCTTTCCCCACTTTGACTCTCCCACCTCACCTTCCTCTGAAGGGAGTCAATGCTACAGGAAAAGAGAAGTCCATGCTTTAGGAATCACCAGCCTAAACATCCCCTGGGAAGTTGTCCCATAGTTTTAGATTTCTGTTTGATGCCCAATCAAATCAAGGCCTTGATTTCCAAATCACTTCCAATCCTAATTCCTGATACTTGATCCTGGATTTACCTGAACATAGATTCCTGATCCAGAGCCTCATTCATATGAAGCAAGAAGAATTCTTCCTCCCCTTCTCCCATCTCTCTGAAAGTCTAGGAACCACAGTAGCTTTTCTCCTTCCCTCCCTTGTCTTTCCTCCCTATAAGAGTGAGCATCAGGTGAAGGTGATAGGAAGGAGGGGGAGGATGCAGGGGGCTGACCCTGGGCATCTGGTTCATGATTCTTTTCCTGGTCCAGGGTGAAGCTGGTCCCCAAGGAGCCCGTGGCTCTGAAGGTCCCCAGGGTGTCCGTGGAGAGCCTGGTCCCCCTGGCCCCGCTGGTGCTGCTGGCCCTGCTGTAAGTAACTGCCTACCTTTGTGCTCTTTGACCTCTGGCCAGCTTCAGAGTTCGTGTACATCACTCATTCCTTCTCTTCTCTTTTTGCTCTAGGGTAACCCTGGTGCTGATGGACAACCTGGTGCCAAAGGTGCCAATGTAAGTATCTTGCAGTACCATTTATTCCGTTCGCAGTGTCCTGCAATGCCCTAGGATGGAGCGTGACCTTCTAGACCAGAGAACTGAGTCTTCCCTTATGTCTCCCATAGGGCGCTCCTGGAATTGCTGGTGCTCCTGGCTTCCCTGGTGCACGTGGTCCTTCTGGACCTCAGGGCCCCAGTGGTGCTCCTGGTCCCAAGGGTAACAGTGTAAGTACCCATCTTTCCTCTGCCACTTCTCCTAATAGCTGGCACTAGAGCTGACTGGCATTTGGTCCAGTCTGTTTTCGGATTACCCAACTGTGCCTGGGTCCAGATCTCCAGAGGATGGGGTCAACTTTGACTTTGGGCTTGAGATTCCTTGTCCTTTCCTTTCCTATCTCCTTCTTTCTTCAGTTCAACCCTTTCTCTTTTCTTTCTTCCCTTTAGGGTGAACCTGGTGCTCCTGGTAACAAAGGCGATGCTGGTGCCAAAGGAGAACCTGTAAGTATTCTTTTCTCTTTTATGCTTCAGTGCATACACATACACACGTGCTTTCATTCATGAATACATACATGGTGGAGTGGCTAGGTTGGTGGACTTGAAGTCATGAAGATCTAGATTCAAACTACGCCTCTGACACTAACTGTAGAACCCCAGCAAGTCACTTCATTTCTCTAAGCTTCGGTTTTCCCATCTGTAACATGGGCGTGATAATACTTATAGCACTTGCCTCCCAGAGCTGGGGTGAGACTCCAATAAGAAAGTGGATATGGAGCATTCCACAAACATTAAAGCAGTTTATAAGCATCAGTTATTATTAGATGTACCAATGTACATCTGAGTACATTCTTACTCAGACCTAACAGGTGAGAGAGGTGTCCTTTGGGGAGAGTTTTGTGCTAGACTTTGAGGAAGATAAAGAGATGAGGTCTTAATGCTCAGGGAACCCCCAACTGATAGAGGAGACATAGTACTTACCCTCAAGTAGCTTCTAGTCGAGAGAGACAGACACAGAAAGACAGAGAGACAGAGACAGACAGAGGGAGAGACACAGAGAAAGAGAGATTTTTGCCCTAAGGAAACTCCCAGTCTGATAAGGAAGATGAGAAACTCCCAGAACACACACTTGGAGTCAGAGAAAAGGGCATGTTTGTCAGCTGAAAAGAGCTCAATCTCTCCCCAAACTTAGTGCTTGGAACTGAGCATTCACAAGTAACTTTCCTCACCTTCCACTCATTGTCTAGGGCCCCGTTGGTGTTCAAGGACCCCCTGGCCCTGCAGGTGAGGAAGGCAAGAGAGGATCCCGTGGTGAACCTGGACCTACTGGTCTGCCCGGCCCCGCTGGTGAACGAGTAAGTGGCTGCTTCCACTCTCCTTTTCTCTGATTTCTTCCCAATTTCAACCAGCCCCTGGCATCTTGCCCAGTGGGCATTCTGCATCCTTCTCAGGCCCTTTGGGACATCCTTTAGTCTCATGGGTACCTTCTACCTCAGCCCTGGCATAACATTTCCTCCTGAGTGGGTAAAGGCCTTGCCTGGCAGGGGAGGGCATCCATACCTTCTACCACCCTGTTTTTCTTATTCTTAGCTCTAACTCATCATGTTCTCTCCCCCATAGGGTGGTCCTGGAAGCCGTGGTTTCCCTGGCGCTGATGGTGTTGCTGGTCCTAAGGTGATTTCCTTCTAATTGTTTCTATCTTCTTGGCAGGCACAATCACAGGAATATCTTGGTTTGGGGTGTGGGGGCGGGGGGTGGGTAGAGGGAGGGATTAACTGCCATTAATTTGCTGATCCTTTCCCATTCTGTGTCCAATTCAAATTTAATCACATCAGCAAACACATATTTGGCCTTTACAACATGCAAGGCATTGAATCAGGTGCTGGAGGCATCTTTCTTAGGGTAAAAGGCCTCCCAGTGGCTCCCTATAAAGGACAGGCCTGGGGCACAGCTCACCAAAAAAGAAGTCCTGCATCTCCTTGCAGACAGCCTTCTTGGCCTTAATGAGATACCTTTATGTTCCCATCCCCTTGCAGATAATCAGCTTTTTCTGGTGGTAGATAGCAGGCCTTGACTCCCCTACTCTGGCCAGGGAAAGGTGAGAAAGCCATTGGTTCTGGGACCTTGACTCTTCTGTGTTCCTTGCTAGGGTGCTCCCGGTGAACGTGGTGCTCCCGGCCCCGCTGGCCCCAAAGGATCTCCTGGTGAATCTGGTCGCCCCGGTGAGGCTGGTCTGCCCGGTGCCAAGGTGAGATGGTAGAGAGACCCAGGACAGCCTCTCTCTGAGATGGGGTATCACTAAGTGAAGAGGGAGGGGGACCTTCTAGAGAACACTACATGGCATGGCAGAAATAATTCCGGGGCAGTGCCACTCTGGTGTGCATTTTGAGATCAGCCCAAGTTGGCAGTCAGTCTTATGGCCTAGCCATCCTCCCAAATCTTCCACGTGGCTGTTTTCCTTCCTTACCTGTCACCCTTCCTCTGCCCATCCATGCCATTTCAGCCTCCCTCCCTCAGAAGAGACAAGTACAATTAACATGGGGGTGGGGGTGGAAATCTACAGAAAAGGGGATCCCTTCTCTTCTGTCTCACTGTTGTCTGTTTTCCTTCTTAGGGTCTGACTGGAAGCCCTGGCAGCCCTGGTCCTGATGGCAAAACTGGTCCTCCCGTAAGTACTGCCCTCCTCTACCTTGGCCCTGCCTGCCCTCCTGTCCTTGCCTCCGGCCCTCTGTCCTCAACTCTCTTTCCTTGTTGTCCATCCTTAGGGCCCCGCTGGACAAGATGGTCGCCCTGGACCTCCAGGCCCTCCTGGTGCCCGTGGTCAAGCTGGTGTAATGGGATTCCCTGGACCCAAGGGTGCTGCTGTAAGTATCCCCTCTTCTGACCTTGCCTTCTTCCTTCCCCCTCCAGCCAGGAGTGGGGAAGACAGTGTGTTCTGAGGGAAAGGGCCCTGGATTTGAAAATGGAAGATCTGCATTCTAGCCCAGCTCCGCCAATAACTTACTGCGCCAACTTGGACAGGTCAATTTCTCTTTCTGTGCCTTAGTCTCCCCATCTATAAAATAATCTCTAAGATCCAATGCAGCTCTTACATTCTATAAGTCCATAATGATAACCCATAGTTCTGATAAATAAATGGGGATGAGGTGGAAGCAGGCTCTATGCAGTGTACTTTAAGGATCTCCCATCCCTGTCCTCAAGGAACTTGCATTCTGGATATCTGTATAGAGGATTTTGGCAGAGAGGGATGTTTTATGGTTGAAGGATCTGGGATCTGAGTGTGGAGGAAAATGTCCTCAGGAGAGAGGAAGAGGAAGGAAAAATAAAGGGTGAAGAGGAAGAGAAGGGGAAGGGAAAAAAGAGAGGAAAGACAAGAAGGAAAAAAGGAGATTGAAGGAATGAAGGGCAGGAGATGGTGACAAGATCCTTGGATGGAAGTAAGGAGTGCTGAGGCCTAGGCCTTGCTCCAGCCTTCTCTTTAACCCACTTTGAAAAAAATCACTTCTGCTTTTTGCACCTCAGTTTCCTTTCCCATTTTTGTAATAAGGAGAAAATCCTTTCTGCCCTTCCATTTTGGCAGGGTTTCTGAGAGATTTTAAATGAGATATAATGAAAGTCCTCTTAAAGCTAATTTATGATGGAATTCTCTGGCCCTCCCCTGACTCCTCTGTAGGAAGGAAGAAAGCAAGCAAGCAGGAAATTATTAAGCACCTACTAAGTGCCAGGCATTGAGCTAAGCACTTCACAGCTAGTAAATGTCTGGGGCTGCATCTGAAGTCAGGTTTTCCTAACTCCAGGACCCCTGACTTTATCCATTGTGCTACCTAGCTGCCTCTAAAATTGAGGTTTGAGGGAGGGATGCAGATCATAGATTTAGAGCTGGAAGGGACCTCCCCCCTTCACCTTACAGACAAGGAAACTGAGGCCCAGAGAGGTTAAGAAATTCGCCTGGTGGTAAATGGGGGAAGTGAGATTCACAGCCAGCCTCTGGCTCCCACTCCATTACTGCCCACAATCCTAGGCTAAGAAGAATGCTTGGGAGGGTTATGGTGATGGTGAAATGAACCCCTTGGGAATGGTGAGGTTGGAAGATGGAGGGAGATCCAGGATAAAGCTGGGGCAGCCAGTTTTCTTAAGCACTTCCTGGGTCTTGTTCCCAGAACCCGTAGTATTTGAAAAAGGGGAGGAAGCAAAAGTATTTAAATTGTCCCTTGATAAGAGCTGGAAGCTGTTGGCAAGTATATGATTTCTCTGGGACACCAAGTGGAATAATTTAATTGCAAAGCTGAATTCAGTAATATTTTCAATCATTGCCTATGCTATCAACTGCCATTAAAAAACAAACAAACAAACAAAAAAAAACAAAACAACAAGCCTGTCAAAGAACAATCCCTAAGACAAAAGGGGGGCAGCATTGATGATCTGGAAAATGTCATGGGTCTGGGGGGCCCTGAGGTCATTCTCCTCTGGGCGCCTTGGGGAAGTTTCTGATTTCTGTTACCCTAACTCTAACCCAAGGTTTTCTTTCCTAGGGAGAACCTGGCAAGGCTGGAGAAAGAGGTGTTCCTGGACCCCCTGGTGCTGTGGTAGGTGTTCTGTCCATTCCCTTTTCCCCTCAGTGCCCAATCACCTTCTTAGTGACCCTCATCTTAGTGCTACTCCCCAGCACATTGGGAGACAACTGGCCTTCAGCATCAGTAGCCATGGCAACAGGGGCTGGACTCTGAGCCTTCAGCTCTAAACTGCTGCATATGGTTTAGGGGAAGAGCTCAGGAAGCTCCTGGCTTCCTTCAGATCAGTCCCCTTCCTTCACTCCCCAAACTCTCCCATCTGAAATCTAAGCTTCCCCCACTGACCCTCTAATCCCGAACTCTGTTCTCTCTCTCCAGGGCGCTGCTGGAAAAGATGGAGAAGCTGGTGCTCAGGGTCCTCCTGGCCCTGCTGTGAGTGTCCCCTCCTGGGAGGACTGGCTTAGGGGTGGGGGCCAAGGTGAAGACTGTGGAGGCGGGCTGCCTGCCTCTTTCCCATTGGCACCACCTGATCCCAGCCTTCCTCTTGGCTTTTCTGAACACAGGGCCCCGCTGGTGAGAGAGGTGAACAGGGTCCTGCTGGCTCCCCTGGATTCCAGGTGAGGAGGCAGAGAATCTTGGGAATTGGGGGAGGAATGTGGGGAATAATTCTATGCTCTCTTCTGGATTCTCAACTCTTCCTCTCTTGCCCATTCCCCACAGGGTCTCCCCGGTCCTGCTGGCCCTCCTGGTGAAGCAGGCAAACCCGGTGAACAGGTAAGTGAGCTTCCCAGAGGAAAGGGAGGGGAATGCTCGAGAATGTCTAATTTCCTCCCCCCCAGGGCTCTTGAGGTAGCACAAGGCTAGCGGTACCTCTGCATGAGACAGTTTGGGAGAGGACAGTGGCTAGCTAGCTTCACTTTCTTAGCTGATTTATAAAAATTCTCACTTCCCTTCCCCCCCCCCTTTCACAATGACTTCTGCATTCTAGCATTGGGAGTTTGATCTTTTCGTCTCCTCCCATCCCCCAACTCTTACGCCATTACTGGGTCTGACACCTCCCAAGAGTGTCCAGGAAGCAGGACATAAGAGGTTGGGGATGGAGCTGCAGGGCAAGGAAGCCATGTATTAGTGCTGGGCCGACTGAGATCACATCGTAATTACCAATCACCCTTTCAGACAAAGCCCAGGAACAGGGCATTAATTACAAACAAGAATGTAGGTCTGCAATCTGAAGTAAAGGGGAGAGACATATTTTATCTCCCATGTCTAGTGCAATGCCTGCCTGATATGAAGGGAGTCCCTAAAAATAAATCGAGCAAGTAAATGAATGAATGAATAAATGAACGAATGAGTGAATGAATTTATACTTGACCATAGGTCCCTAATGCCTTACTCTCTTCTCTCCCCTCACCCTGACTCTGACTTTTTTTCTTCTCTCCCTCCCCAATAGGGTGTTCCTGGAGATGCTGGTGCCCCCGGCCCCTCCGGTTCAAGAGTAAGTTGGCCCTTTCTCTCAGTCCTCTCCAGTTCTTTATCTTTTGCAGTGGTCTTTCCCATGGCACCATCACTTATCCTATCTCTTCCTTTCTAGGGTGAGAGAGGTTTCCCTGGAGAACGTGGTGTCCAAGGTCCTCCCGGCCCTCAGGGTCCTCGTGGTGCCAATGGTGCTCCTGGAAATGATGGTGCTAAGGTGAGGAACAGGTTGGAGAGGATGGGGTCAGTGAGTGGGGTGGGAAGCTTGACCCACTCTCCAGGGAGGGCATGGGGTCTTCCTTTTAGCCTCAAGTCTGATAGATGGAAAGTAGCTGTGGAGCATCTACGTTAAGCTTGGGCTCTTGCCCTTCAGTTCATCATCAGCCAGTGTCTTGCCTTTGACGTCATGCGGCCAAATGGAAGGGCTATAAGTTCTCCAGTGTGTAACTAACCCTGCTCCTCTTGGTTGGAATATAGGGTGATGCTGGTGCTCCTGGTGCTCCCGGTGGCCAAGGGCCCCCTGGTCTGCAGGGAATGCCCGGTGAACGTGGTGCAGCAGGTCTTCCCGGTGCCAAGGGTGACAGAGTGAGTCCATCCCCTGCCCAATTCCACCCCTACTCCCCTACCAAGCCCTTTTATTAGCTTCTGGATGTATATCATTGGGATATTGACTTGGGATATTGATTGGGATTACAACTTGATCTTTTCCTTCTGCTTACTTTTCTGGGCTTCCTGAACTTCTCTCTTTCCCTCATTTTATTTCTCATCAAATGCTTCACCTCTACTCTGCTGTCCCTACCCAGAGTCCTCTCTGCTGCTGAAAGGCCTCAAATTATCTCCCTAGATCACTAAGGAGATGAGAGTGACTTGCCCGGGGTCACAGAGCTAATCTATGTGGACTTGAACCCAAGTCTTCCTGGTTTCAATACAAGCCCCTTACTGTTGAGGAGAGAGGGTCTCAAATCTCCCTGGATCACTCAGTAGATAAGAGGCTGAGAAAGCCTCTGAAATGTGTCCTGTGATGAGGAACCCTCTTATCTGGAAAGTTTAACGGTTAGATCCAGAGTTTTTCCTGGGTCTGAATGATAGTTTCAGCTTCATAGAGTTGGAAACCCTGCTTATAGAGAAGAAATTACTGTCTCTAATCTGCTCTGAAAAGCCTTTGGTTTCTTAATTTCATCAATCTATTTCCTTAAATCCTTTCTCTAAAATGATCTCTTGTTTTTCCCTGTATTATGGGGATGAGCAAAGTGAGGAGAGGGGGCTGGGGAGTCCCTCTCTGGTATCTTGTCTCCAGGCTTCGTTTGTTTCCATCATGACAACTCTCTTTTTGGCTTTCATGCACATGCCCCCTATAGGAATGCTCGCAGGTGCCATTTTGACCCTGGACCCGGCACCCTATCTTGGCTGAAACAAGGTTCTTGTCTTTTCTGTCTCTAGGGTGATGCTGGCCCCAAAGGTGCTGACGGTGCTCCCGGCAAAGATGGTGTCCGTGGTCTGACTGGTCCCATTGGTCCCCCTGGCCCCGCTGGTCCTTCTGGTGACAAGGTAAAAATAGCCATTCCCCTTTCCAACTTTTCTCTGAAATAGATTGCGGTTGCTGGAGCATTCTGGTGCCCCACACAGTTCTGCTGCTCCCCTCCCTCACAGGAGGAGAGAATAAGGATGGGACCTGTGATTTCAGTGATATAAGGAATCCCTGGAACAGTAAAGTCCCTTTTCCAGTGCAGGTCAGGGCTAAGTTAATTGGAGAACTGAGTACTGTCCCAGGGTCAGGTCCCACAGCCAGAGTGTGTCAGAAGTGGACCTTGAACCCCTATGCCCCCAGACCCAAGGCTGGTTCTCTTTTCACTGTATCACAGTGCCTCACAGTATGACATGAAGATGAATTTTCCTCTTGTGTGGGGGTACTGGACCCCAGGAATCATTGGATTTTTGAGTTGCAAAGAATGGTAGACACCATCTCATCCCATGCCCACATTTTACTGATGAGAAAAGCAAAATTCAGAGAAGTAAATTGATTTATGCTAAGGTTATTCAGGTGCAAGTGTCAGAACTGGGTTTTGAACCATCTTCTGACCCTAGCTCCAGAGTTTTTAACTACACTGGCTAGCCTGGAGGGTGAAGGCATTCTAATCACTGGGCATCAGACGATGCTAATGACCTTGCATAAGGGGAAGGAGTGGTTAATAACAGGGCATGGGATTTCTTGAGATGGGCGTGGGGGGAAGAAGCAGAGCTAAGCTGCTATTGGCCAGGAAGAAGGAAGACTGGGCAGTGAGGATCTTATAAAAGCCGAAGGGCAGGAGAGAAGAGATCTGACAAGTAGGTGGGTATAGAGAATTAGACATGTGTGCGGGGAAATCCAGAAGCTACCATGGTCCCAAAGAAGAGCTTTCCATCTCCTGGAATCCTGCTGAAGGACCTATGGGTGTAGGGTGATACCAGCCTACAGTCAACAGAATATATCCATTGAGAGCACCTCCTTGCTCTCCTGTTCCTGCCTGTTCCTTATCTCCCTTTTGCCTTCCAGGGTGAATCTGGTCCCAGCGGCCCTGTTGGTCCCACTGGAGCTCGTGGTGCTCCTGTAAGTATTTTTTCCTATTATTTGGGAGATTTCCTTCGCCTCCCCACCACTCTCTACAGCCCATTGAGACCCCTCACCTTACGCCTTCACTCCCTCCCTCCTTACCCTCCATGTCTCTCCAGGGACTCTTCTTTCTAGGACTCCCCCACTTCTCTCCACTCCACTGTCGCCTCTCACCCTGCATCTCTGAATTCTCATTTGCAAACATCTCTCTCTCATCTTCCTCTTTCATTGTCTCACGCCCTCTCCTTTCAAGGTTTCCTTTCTGACTATTTCTCTCTTTCCTTCTATTTTAGGGAGAGCGTGGTGAGACTGGCCCCCCTGGCCCTGCTGGCTTTGCTGGTCCTCCCGTAAGTACCAAGCCCCTGTCTCACTTCCCATCCCCAGTGGGATCCAGGCATCTCATGCATGCTTAAGCCTGGGACAAAGAATGGGGACTCCCCCAAAATGAAAAGGGATCAGGAATGATGGGAAGAGACTTCTATTTCTTGTTGGTAGGAGTGGGTGTTGCTGGTCTTAAGGATCCCTGTAATAGGAATGTGTGTAAAGTCTAATGCCCTATCTCCTTCTGTAGCCCCATGTTTCCACAGCTCTGCTCCCCTGTTCACCTCTCTTTGTTTCCCTCTTCCAGGGTGCTGATGGTCAACCTGGTGCTAAAGGTGAACCTGGTGATGCTGGTGCCAAAGGTGATGCTGGTCCCCCTGGCCCTGCTGGACCTACTGGTGCCCCTGGCCCTGCTGTGAGTATTTCATTAGTCCATGGTGACCCTTCCCATGAGTTCTCCGCACAACTGATCTCTACAACTGTGACATCTTCCTTTTACTCTCCTCCAGGGTAATGTTGGTGCTCCTGGACCTAAAGGTGCCCGTGGCAGCGCTGGCCCTCCTGTAAGTATCACCCACCACCCAGGTCTACCTCCAGCCCCTACCAGGGACACACTCAGGCACAGAAATCTCACCTTGGAGCCAGTCCAAAGACTAGATACAGAACCTGAAACTCTGAGAATTGGAACCAATAAGGACACTTGGCAGAGTGACCCTCCCTCACTCTTAAGTAAATTGCCCCCCTCCCCTCCAAGGGTATTACAGAGGAAAGAACACTGCACTTGATGTTAGGAGACCTGAATTAGAGTTGAAGTTATTTTATTTGATCTCCCTGAGCCTTAGTACCCTCATCTATAAAATGGGGAGAATATTTTTCTACCTCCATCCCAGTATTCTGAGGGAGATAGTTTATAAATCTTAGAGTTACTAAAATAAGGCTTATTAACTATCCTTCTCATCTAGCTCTTAGGGTTCCCCTATCCTAGGGCACAGAGTGAGTCTGGGGCATATCCCACAGAGGAGCCTGTCCTCTACCCCTGACATCCTTCTCCCTCCCCTACTGCCCACCTGGACTACTCTTCATATCTCTGATGCCTCCTTTTAATTTTGCCTTGTAGGGTGCTACTGGTTTCCCTGGTGCTGCTGGAAGAGTTGGTCCCCCTGGCCCCTCTGTAAGTACCCACTGGAAGAATTTGGTGAAGGGGGTCCTGATCAATGCTGTTAGGAGGGGTCTAGAATGAAATAGTTGGGGGTAGCTGATCTCAGCAATCAGGATGGAGAACAAGTGAGTGGGGAGGAGGCTAGGACAGAGGGACTCATAGCTATGCAACTGTGTCCCCCTTGCATGAGCCCTTGGTGGCCCAGTAACTGCCTTCTTCTCTGCCTCCCACCCAATGTGCCGGTCATGGTGAGGGTATACCAGGTCTCAGCAGACAACCTCAGAGTTTAAGAAGGGCCCCAGCCTTTTTCTTCCTGACCACTTTTCCTGCCACTTAGGGTAACACTGGACCCCCTGGACCTCCTGGCCCTGCTGGCAAAGAAGGCGGCAAAGGCCCCCGTGGTGAGACTGGCCCTATTGGACGTCCTGGTGAAGTCGGACCTGCTGGTCCCCCTGGCCCAAGTGGAGAGAAAGGATCTCCTGGTGCTGATGGCCCTGCTGTAAGTCCTGAGCTCCCTGGTCTCTTCCAGTAGCTCCTAGAAACCTCCCAGGAATAGAATGGCCTCTTCTGGAACCAATATACCTTATGCTCAGGCCTGTCAGCTAAGGGCTTCTGATAACTCCTAGGTGGTAACTGCTCAGAAATCACCATAAAAATGATCATAGGGAACTGTATACAATGCTTCCCCCCCTCTTAAGCAGGGGTGTGACCCACAACTTCTTATCAAATAAGCTGATGTGTGTAAAGTGCTTTGCTAGCTTCAGCTTAGTATTATGACCATTATTTTCCCTATCCCATCAGCTCCCAAATCAGGGAGTCTTTTCAGCCTTCTCTCAACCTCACCTGTCATCCCAAAGAAGAATATTATTGCCAGCAAGCTTGGAGAGGTCAGGCCCCTTCGTGCCCCTTTGCTGGACAGTGTCCTGGGGCAGAAATTGGCTTAATTCACCACCCAACAAGACTCAGGAGATCTGAGGTGTGAATGAATCCAAGTCAAGTTCCCTCCCTGTACTCCTCCCTTCCTCAACCTGCCCCTTGTCACTTCTTCCTTTGCCTCCTTCAGGGTGCCCCTGGTACTCCCGGACCTCAAGGTATTTCTGGACAGCGTGGTGTGGTGGGTCTGCCTGGACAGAGAGGAGAAAGAGGCTTCCCTGGTCTTCCTGGTCCCTCTGTGAGTATCCCCTGCTTTTCCCTCTGGGAAATCTCAATAACATGAGAGATTTGGGAGGGAGCAGGTAGTGATGGGAACAGGAGAGATGCAGGAAGAGGAACGGGGGAGACACTTAGAGGAGAGTGGGTGTGACCATTGAGGACAGATCGAATCCCTGGGAGAAAAGTTCTTCTCATCCCTTTTCTGACCTGGCCCTTCCCTGTATTTAGGGTGAACCCGGAAAACAAGGTCCTTCTGGAGTAAGTGGAGAACGTGGCCCCCCCGGCCCTGCTGGACCCCCCGGATTGGCTGGACCCCCTGGTGAATCTGGACGTGAGGTGAGGAAGAAAGCTCTTTGGGGCAGAACTCCCAGTAGCCCCTGCATTGGCTGCTGACCTGCATTAGCCCAGCTTGTATGCCTTTCTGGCCTGGGCTGATGGTGTTCTCCTCTCCCCCTTCAGGGCTCTCCTGGTGCTGAAGGCTCCCCTGGTCGTGATGGCGCTCCAGGCCCCAAGGTGAGCAGAACCCCCCTGACAAATCTGTTTCTCTTGCACGCTCTTCAGCAGCACTGACCCTGCCCTTACTCCTCTCCCTTTTCCTGTTCCTCCCCTTTAGGGTGACCGTGGTGAGGTTGGTCCTGCTGGCCCCCCTGGTGCCCCTGGTGCTCCTGGTGCTCCTGGCCCCGTGGGTCCTGCTGGAAAGGCTGGAGATCGTGGAGAGACTGTAAGTGACTGTTCCTCAGCACTTGATGAAATTAGGGCAAGCTCTTGGGAGCTTATCGGGAGACTTTATGTTGACTTTACTTAGCTGAAATGGAGTGGGGTGGAGAGGTCAAGGGGGAGACTCTCTAGGAAGAAAGATGGGTTTGTGGGACAGTCATCTCCCTATAATAAGCTCCATAGGCTTATGACTCCCTGGATTTCCCAGGAAATGGGAGCTACACTGGAGGGAGAGGGAGCAGGGTCACCTTCTAGCCAGCTTCTCTCAGAGCTGAGACTTGTCCCTAAAAATCTTTCCTCCTGCCAAGTAGAGCACAGGAGTCCTGGGGGAGGGATTTCCTCAAGATCGGGGATGTTGGGGAAGAGGTGGACAGATTGGCAAGGAGAATGATTAGAAACTGAGGGTAGTGCCATGGTAGAGGGTATGGGGCTGATCTGAGAGGGAGATGGAAAAGCTAGAGGCCAGGGCAGGGGAGTATATTTAAACTTGTGGAGTAGAATAGAATGGGCGATTCATGGAAAGAGGGTTCACAGCTCCTGGGGAGCTGTACAAACTTGGGGACCCCTGAGTCAGGCTGGTTCTACGATATCTCATTGGCTCTCTTTCTCTCTCCATCCCTTTAGGGTCCTTCTGGTCCTGCTGGTCCCGTTGGTCCCACTGGTGCCCGTGGCCCCGCTGTGAGTCTTCCATCCTCATCCCCTCAAATGCCACTGTAAACAATGACCCCTGCCCATCTGGGTGCTTGAGAGCCCTTCACCTGTTTGAATGTCACTTCTCTCCTCTTTTAGGGACCCCAAGGCCCCCGAGGTGACAAGGGTGAGACTGGCGAACAGGGTGACAGAGGCATAAAAGGTCACAGAGGCTTCTCTGGTCTCCAGGGTCCCCCTGGTCCTCCTGTAAGTATCTCTTTTTCTGTCCCCTTCCCTTTCCATGGTCCTCTCCCACCATCTTCCCTTGAAATGTTGTATCAATGTAAACATTCCTCAGTTTCATAGACTGGAACAATTCATTAGCCTTTCTAGATTGATAGTGTGGACAGGAATTAGCTGCGTTGTCTTTGGGTTAGAAAAATATAGGGAAGGGGAAATTATTCTACCAATCAGTAAATATTTATTAAGCACCTACTGTGTGCCAGGTACTGTGCTAAGCACTGGGCTACAAAAAGATTCAAAAGATAGTCTCTGGACTCAGAGAGCTCTAATGGGAGAAGACAACATGGATGAAGGATTAGGGGGGTGGGAATGTCTTAGACTAGAGAGACCTTTGGCCCAGATTTCTAGTTTCCTGGGCCTGAGAACAGGGTTGGGTCACTCCTGGTATCTACCCCCCCTCCCCCTTCTCTCATCAACATCACTTAATCCAGCCTGAGTTCTGACTCATCTTTGTCTCCTTCAAGGGCTCTCCTGGTGAACAAGGTCCTTCTGGAGCTTCTGGTCCTGCTGGCCCCCGAGTAAGTAACTTCTTTCTTTTCTCCCTAGTACCCATCCCTTGTCCCACCCAGGTTCCCTCTGAGGTCTTACACCAGGAGACTTGGGTATCTGAGCAATGGAGGTGCAGTAGGGGGGTGAGGGGACAGAGCAAATGCCAGTGTTGATTCCCAAGACCAATCGTCCTTGGGATTCAGTCTCCCTCCCCCATTCCTTCCTCTTGTTTCTTGGCCCCGCTACGATGGAACAGTGACTCATCTTGGCATGTATGCTGGTGAGAGAGAGAGATCAGACCCAGTTGTCTGATATTTCTCAGTGGGGGCTATGTTGTCAGAACTGTTTATTGTTGGTTTTAGAGTTGGATTGTTTGACTTGGATTATGTGATCTTGGTGCAGAGTTTGTTCATTCTGAGGTTGTGTGGTTAGGTTGGATCTGGCCTGGAGCTGGGTTGCCAAGCCTTGGAAAATGTCGATCTAATCCACTATTTCTTGTGTCCTCTCTCAGGGTCCCCCTGGCTCTGCTGGTGCTGCTGGAAAAGATGGACTCAATGGTCTTCCTGGCCCCATTGGCCCTCCTGGTCCCCGTGGTCGTACTGGAGATGCTGGTCCCGCTGTATGTACCCCTATCTCCTTAGCTGACCCCCCACTCTAGGCTTACCTGGTGCTCCAAGCCCAAGAACCCAGGCCTTCACCAACCTTTGCTCTTCTCTGCATAGGGTCCCCCTGGACCTCCTGGGCCCCCTGGTCCTCCTGGTCCCCCCAGTGGTGGCTTCGACTTCAGCTTCCTGCCCCAGCCACCCCAGGAGAAGGCTCATGACTCTGGCCGCTATTACCGGGCTGATGATGCCAACGTCCGTGACCGTGACCTCGAGGTAGACACCACCCTCAAGAGCCTGACTCAGCAGATTGAGAACATCCGAAGCCCCGAGGGTACTCGCAAGAACCCTGCCCGCACCTGCAGAGACCTCAGGATGTGCCACTCAGACTGGAAGAGCGGTGAGGACCTTCCCCAGCCCTCGTTGGGGGTCTCCAACTCCTCCTGTGTCCTCCTTCCCAACTACTCCTTCCCCTTTGCTGCCCAGCCCACTCCCACAAGAGAGGACTTTGCTGGGACTAGGGGCCAAGCAATTTCCTTTCCTTCCTTTCTTCCTTGGTATCACTCCCAGCATGGCACCCAACACCAGACCCCCACCTCCCTGACTCTCTCTATTTCTTCTCTATCCTATTTCAGGAGAGTACTGGATTGATCCCAACCAAGGCTGCAACCTGGATGCCATCAAGGTCTTCTGCAACATGGAAACTGGAGAAACCTGTGTGTACCCCACCCAACCCAAAGTGGCTCAGAAGACCTGGTACATTAACAAGAACCCCAAGGAGAAGAAGCACGTCTGGTTTGGCGAGAGCATGACCGATGGATTCCAGGTGAGGCACAGGGAAGGGGAGAAGGAAGGTGGATTGATCTAGACCGTAGAAGGAAGGGTCTAGGGGTAGATAATAACACTCCCCAGGATAGGGATGAGGCCTTAAGGAGTGTTATTGAGATGGGGGAGATGAGGAAACAGCAAGGAATAGAGGTGGCTATCGATGGGAAAGGTAGGAGAGGTCAGAGGTGGACTATACCAATACCCCTTAGAGTGGAGGCCAGGAGGCCTGGGTTCTAGCTGAAGCATTATCATAAATAGACTGTGTGGCCTTGGCAAGTTCCCTCTTTGGGAACTTTGGGCCTATTTCCTCCTCTGTAAAGTGAAGATTAGATGGTCTTCCAGCTCTCATACACAGTATCTAGCCTTATGATTCCGGGTTCAGCATGCAGAGGATAGATTAAGGGGGGACAGTCGAGAATTGAGAGGGCAGGGGACAGAGGCTGGACTCCATCTTCTCCTTTCCACTACAGTTCGAGTATGGCGGTGAGGGCTCCGACCCTGCTGATGTGGCTATTCAGATGACCTTCCTTCGCCTGATGGCCACTGAGGCCTCCCAGAACATCACCTATCACTGCAAGAACAGCGTGGCCTACATGGACCAGCAGACTGGCAACCTCAAGAAGGCTCTGCTTCTCCAAGGCTCCAATGAAATCGAGATCCGGGCTGAAGGCAACAGCCGATTCACCTATGGAGTCACCGAGGACGGCTGCACGGTGAGCCCCTGTCCCTTCCCTCTCTGCCGCCATTGTAAACTAAACCCCAAGGTTGCCATGGAGGCCTTGAGTTGGTATTCTTTGCTGTGTGCTCTTGGGCAAGTCTATAACCTCTCTGGGTTTTGTTTTTAGCCCAGGGCTCTAGGCAAATGGGTTGGGATAGAGACTGGACCTGGGAATTTCAATGGTTTTGGGAACTCCCCCCACCAATACAGTCCAACACATACTCTGCGGCCTAGAGGTTTGCCTAGAGCACTGAGAGGCTGTAACTTGTCCAGGGCTACCAGCTAGTACGTGTCAGAAGCAGGACTCCAACCTGGGTCTTCCTGGCTTTGAGACCAGTTAGCTAGTAAATCCTCTTTCCCCTCCCTCCATCTGTCAAAAGCTGATAGGTCACAGAAATAGGTCAGAAGTGGGCTTTTTAGATGGTACCTGTGGTCAATTGTGCAGACCCCTGAGACCTGGGATTTTGAAGAGACTTGCTGACCCCCTTCCCCCTTCCCCTACCCTACTACTCCCTATAACTTCACTGGGTCACTCCTACAGGACAACAGCTAATTCCTTTTGCCCCTCTTTCCCTTTCCTAAAGAGTCACACCGGAAACTGGGGCAAGACAGTCATCGAATACAAGACCACCAAAACCTCCCGCCTGCCCATCATTGATGTGGCTCCCATGGACGTTGGCGCTCCCAACCAGGAATTTGGCTTCGACATTGGTCCCGTCTGCTTCCTGTAAACTCTCCCCATTCCCAACCGGCTCCCTCCCACCCATCTTCCTTCCCTCTGACCCCAGAAGAAAACAAAAACAACCCAACAGAACAAAAAAAAGTCAAAAAAAGGAGAAAATTTCACATGAACTTTGGAAATTTTTTTTTTCCTTTCCGTTCATCTCTCAAAACTTAGTTTTCACCTCTGAGAAACCAAATCTGACCCAAAAAAACAAAGCTAAATCAAAAGCATTAAATCTTACAAAAAAAGAATAAATAAATAACTTTTTAAAAAAAAAGGAAACTTGGTCCACTTGCTTGAAGACCGATGTGGGGGTAAGTCTTTTTGAGCCCTCTGGGCTTACAGATGCCCCAGCTTTTGCCATTCTGTTCCCTTCTCCACCTCTTCCCCTTGGGGACTTCTCCCCCACAGCCTCCCTTCAATGCAAGTCTCCCCTGCGTCCCAGGAAATGCTGGGGCAGGCCGTGGTCTTCCTGGCAACAAGAGAACAGATGCTCCAACACCAAGTGTCTTCGGCCTTACCCCACCCTCTCTCCATTCCAGCCCCCTACTTCCCTAACCCTCCCCTTCAAGGAGGGGATGGGGAGATGGGGTTCCCAGACTCAGCTTCTCTGCTGGTCTCTTTTCTCAATACCACTGCAAAGGAAGATGTACTATCTGAATGCAAGCCTCTGTACTGCACCCCTCTGTTTGAGAGGAGGAGTGTGTGCGAGGGACCCCACTTGAGGGGGACTTATTGGGCCTGGAGCTGTCCTATGAGATTTTTCCCCCCTGCCAAGTTTAGAGGAGAATTGGAAAGGGGTAGGGGTGGAGGGACAGTAAAGTGGAACCAGCTGATTTGGGAGTCCCCACCCCCAACCCCTCCAGGCACCTTCCAAACCTGCCTCTCACACACAGGCAATGGGGCTGGGTCTGAGAAATTGTTCATTCCATGTATATTTCTGTTGTTGAAAGACTACCTCGTACTTGTCTTTTTTCATGCCAGCCAGGGCAACATTGTGGGGGCTTGGAATGGGGGACCTAGGGTGGAGAGGGGATACTCCTCCTCCTTCTGGGGCTCCCCCTACTTTAATCAAAGGTGCTAAGTTTGCGTTTCCTTTCCTCCTAGACGTGCTGGGGCTAGGAAAACCAGGCAAGAATAGACAGCCACCTGGTTTTCCAAACTGGGGGTGGGGTAGGGGATTGGGGATCACTGGTGCTATAGAAATTGAGACCTCCCCCCACATGCCAAAGAGTGTTCCCTTTCTGTTTTACGGTCTTTTTTTTCAAAGCTTTTTTTTTTTTTTCATTTGTTTGTTCTTGGCTTATGGGAACTCGTGAATTTTCTAAAGGTGCTATTTAAAAAGGGACTAAAAAAAGCAGGCTTGAGATCTGCACCAAAGCTGACTTTTCATCCTGTCTTCACCAGCAGGTGGATTCAACTTTCCTTTGAACGGTTTTTTACCCCTCATGCTTTCTCCATCTTGCTCTTCTGCCCCCTTTTCTTGCCTCCTACTCACCTCCCTCTTCTCACCCTACCGCTCTCCCCTCTTGCTCTGAAACCCTCTGTCTTTCTCTCCAGCCTTTCCAACCCCTTTCATTCTGCCCCTTCTCCCCCGCCCCCCATGCCTCTCTTGCCATCTCCTCTCTTTGGGTTTCAAAGCACAACTTTTCTAGCCAAGAGGCAGTTTTTCCCCCTAGGGAGTGTGAGGAACCAAAGGATTCTGTACCTATTTTGTGTATGTATAATAATTTGAGATGTTTTTAATTATGTTGACTGCTGGAATAAAGCATGTGAAAATGACCCGAACACATCTGTAGTGGCCTGATGTTTTCTCTCTCTGGGATAGGGGGAGGTTTACAGGATGGTCTGGAGGGATTGGGGGACTTTTCTCTATTCCCTTCCTTTTCTTCTCCCCCCACTCCACTCATCTTCTTTCTCCAAAAAACCTTATCTTCTCCGTGCCTAAACTTTCTTTCTCTCTTGCTCACTCTTTCTTTTCAACTTTCACTTCCTCTGCCTCCAAGTATCCTCCTCCTCCTCCTCCTCCTCTTCCTCCCCCTTTTCTGGGCTTTCTTCTCTCCCAACCTCTCGCATCCCAGGTCTCCTTTCTCTGTTTCCTGAGCTAACAAAACTCTTTCATCTCCTTTCCATTTGTTCTGAGTACAGAGTACTGTGGAAATTGAGGGACAAAGGAAGGTTTAGACATGGGATTCAATAAAGAACAAGGGGACTCCCTGAAGAGGGCTAAGAGAGGAAGCAGTTTGGCTTAAGTGAGATAGGTCAGGAATAGCAAGAAGCTCTCTTGGGACCTGGGGTGGGAAATGGAAGGGAAGGGGGACTGGAAGGGAGAGCAGAGTACTTTCTCATCTTCAGGAGCCCACAGGTCAATGCTGAAGCCAGGGAGGAAAGTGGGAAGTAGAAATTCTCTCCCAAGGAAAGAAACAGCCATAGAATAGAATAACCTCAGCCAAAAATCTCTGAGCCTGTCCATTCCCTTTTCTTTCTCTTTGTTTGGCTCCCTCTCTGTTTCCCCCTGACTCTGAGGCTGTCAATCTTCTACAATATGTATTGAGCATTCCTTTTAGCTGATATGAGGAGATGCAAAGAAAATAGATGATTCAGTCTGTTTGTGATGAGGAGAGACCCAGTCTCTGCCCTGAGAGAACTCCCTTTCTGCTGGGACAGAGACTTAGTCTCTGCCCTCAGGGAGCTGCCAATCTAATAAAGGAGAAATAGTTCCTTCCCTCGGAAAAGACACAGTTCTAGGAAAGGGAAGGGCCATTAATTTCCAAGATTTGAGATCACTTACAAAACTACAGAATCAGATTAAGAACACTTGTGTTGTCCGCAATTGTCAAGTACAGAGAAAGTACGTAAGTGTTCTTTCATATCCTAGAATTCCAGACCCACTGGTGTAGAGAGTCCCTCTAGAAGTCGTCTTAACTATCCCCACCTCTTGCTTTCTTCTCTGTCCTGTCTTTTCCCTCCTCTCTCCTCTTTTTACTGACCATTTTGTATCCTCTTTCTCTGTGTCCTCTATCTCCGTGTGTCTATGTCTATCTCTCTCTGTCTCTGTCTCTATGTCTTTCTCTGTCTCTGTTTCTGTGTCTCTGTCTCTGTCTGTCTGTCTGTCTCTCTCTCCATCCCAAGGTTTGTCCCAATGATCTTTTTCCCCCCAGCTGGCAACCTGGTGCCCAGGGCAGCAGCAAAGGGGTACTCCTTCATTCCTCATTAGCTACCAGAATCCACCCCTTCCCTCAATCCCCTACATCTGGCTCAGGGGTGTTTCCCTGGTCCCTAGGATACAGAGATCCAGAAAACCTAAGGGAGAATTTCCTGGGTAGGTCTATGCTCCTCTTCTAGAATCCAAAGTCCAAGATATCAGTGAGAAAAGAGTTGCTCCAGCCCTTCATTTACAAAGGAGGAAACTGAGTCCCAGAGAAAGGAAGTGACCTATCTAAGGTCATACTGTGAGTTCTCTCTCAGGGGAGAACCTTGGATAAACAAAACTTGCTTCCTCTGAGAAATGGCCCTGGGCCCCCATAGGGTCCTAGAATCCTGGAGTTGTGATAGAAAAGACCTCACAGATCAGTCAGACCAACACTTAGCAGGAGGAGTTCCTGCCTCCAGAAAGCAAATGCTAGCTTCCACTGGTGAGCTGAGCCTGAGGAGCAGTTACAGGGAGAGGAGCCAGCCTTATAGGCCAGGGGAAGAAGAGGGAGAGTGAGGGTAAGGTAGGGGGGCAAGGGAGGGAAGAGAGGGGAAGGAGAGGAACAGGGCTGGGGCGGGACAGGGGCCAAGCCAGTCTCAACCTAATCATCCTGGGACCAGATATCTTCTACGAAGACCTCCCTGGTGTCACCAGTGGCAGTCTCATCCTTCATTCTGTCTCCCAGTCTGAGGGGCTCACATTTTAAAAGGGGGAAAGGGCAACTAGATGGTGCAGTAAATAGAGCTCAGGCCCTGGAGTCAGGAGGACCTGAGTTCAAATCTGGACTCAGACACTTGACACTTACTAGCTGTGTGACCTTAGACAAGTCACTTAACCCCACTGCCTAGCCAAAAAAAAAAAAGAGGAAAAAGTCAGCCAACTTCTTGCTTTTCTCCCAGAACCATAGATTTAGAGTTTGAGGGGATATCAGAGATCATGGGGTACAATCAACTCATTTTATAGATGAGGAAACTGAGTCAGGATTAGAGTCAGGATTTGAACTCAGTGCTCTTTCCACTGTACATATCAATGATTATTAATTATTGCTATAACCAATTAATGGCACTTTAATTAAGCATCTGGACCTTCTTTCCGGTCTGTTTCCTGGTCAAGTACACAATAGAGAAAAAGGAACAGAAGAGGGAGGTTTCTATTATGTAGATAGCATCAGGAAGGCATGAGCATTTATTAACCTCCTAATAGGTGCCAAGCACTGCACTAAGTGCTTTATAATAACTCATTTGATCCTCACAACAACCCTGGGAGGGAAATAATATTATTATTCCCATTTTACAGATGAGGAAACTGAGGCAGACACAGGTTAAGCGATTTGCCCAGGGTCACACATCTAGTAAGTGTCTGAATTCAGGTTTTAACTCAGGTCTTCCTAACGCCAGGGCTCGCACTCTGTCCATTGTGCCCCTAGCTACCAGGATGATAAATGCACTGTATTAATAATCATTTTTGACTTTCCTCACAACAGACCAGTGAGTAAGGTTGCAGTTATGCCCTTTTTACAGATGGGGAAACTGACACTCAGGAATGGTAAGCGACTTGCCATGGGTCATGCCCAGGCAAATGGTCTTCCCATCATATTATGCTGCCCCTCAGGACTGAACATAATACGAGACTCAGATCATATGTAAATGAACAACAGTTAAGTCAAAAACACAGGAGCCTCTAGGGCCCTGGAGCCTCCCAGAACTGTGGAGATAAAACCTCATCTCTCCTGGGGGTTCAGGGAAGCCAGAGGAGAACAGTTATCTCAATAACTTCCCTGGGAACCCCAAGAGTTTAGGTCTGGAAATCACTGGCCAAACAGATCAATGAGAGTGTCCCCAGTAGAAAGAACTGGCCAAGAAATTCCTGCCCTACTCCAAGGAATTCATTTACCTGCCTGTGTACACATGGGCTCTCTGAGAAGTGGACCGACCTAGGATGAAATGACCACTTCTGTTCTGTAGGAACACACACTCAGAATCTGCCTTTGACTGTGTAGGTGTTTAGTACATGAACTCAAGACCTAGTCAACTTGAAGCTACCAGAGGACAGGGAAAAGTCAAGGACTGTCCAGGCCACTGCTGACTCCATCCTTGTAACACAGAATGATCTCTGCCCTGTCATTTGGTGTTTGTTGTTGTTTAGTCGTTTTTTCAGTCATATCTGACTCTTCATGACCCCATTTGGGGTTTTCTTGGCAAAGATACTGGAGTGGTTTGCCATTTCCTTCTTCAGCTCATTTTACATATGAGGAAACTAAGGCAAACAGGGTTACGTGACTTGCCCAGGGCCACACAGCTAGTAAGTGTCTGAGGCCAGATTTGAACTCAGGAAGATGAATCTTCCTGACTCTGGGCCCAGCACTCTGTGCACTATGGCGCCACCTAGCTGCCCCTACATCCTTTGGTGTTCTCTGTAACTAACACCTCAGGCACCTTGCAGCACAGCCTGACACATTAGGCTTTCCCAGGGACACACGCACACATTAAGGACACTGGAAAAAGTTGCTAAAGTAAACAGATCATCAGAGTCCGATAGCTTCGCCACAAAGAGGTCTTACATGGCCAGCTTGTTCTCCTTCTTTCCTTTATAACCAGATTTAAAGTCACAGTATAAAGAGCAACTTTGGAACATTAGCTTAAAGGTTCTTTTCTCACTCCTTTTATCTGCTTCCTACAGATAGTATTAGGATTAAGAAGGCTGGTTTCCTCCTAAGTGCTATTGATTGTAGCTCTTGACTTACTACTCCCATCTATCAAAGCCCTTGCTCTGTGACCATTGCTAAAATGAGCTGTCCAATTAGACTGTAAGCTCCTTGAGGGCAGGGAATCTCTATCTTCAATAATTCTCACAAGGCCTAACAGTGTCTAACACAAAGAAAGTGCTCCAAAGGTGATCATAGAATGAAATAGAATGAAGAGAACATATGTGCAAGTGTGTGATTAAATAAGACTGTATGACTGCGTGTTTAGTGGAGATTTTTTTGTTGGGTGGGAAAAAGGCAAAGGGATACATAATGAGCATGTGTGAGAGGCAAGAAGATGTAAAAAGGCGTATATGTGTGTGTTCACACATGTGTGAGTGCATACTCTCCTGGAAGTCTATCTGTGAAGGTGTGAGTTTGTGTTTTTGCGATATGTTTACAGTTGTGTAGCTGTGGATGGCTGGGGTGGGGGACAAAAGGATCATTGTGACTGCATCCCTGGCTCCAGCCCTCCCTCCCTTCTTCCTGCTGACATCACAGCTGCTCTAAATAGAGCTGAAAGGGGCCCTGTTCCCCCAGACCCTGCCGATGCATCTGACCTCTCTGCCTTTGGGCACCTTGCTGCCGCTCCTGGCTTCTCACTTCCCTCTCTGTTTGGGAGGGAATGTCCTTGCCGTCTTTGGATGCAGGATACTTACTGGTTTTCTCAGGATTGGGATGGAGGAATCAAGTCTGAATCCAACAGCTTTCCAGAAAGAAGAGGACACGCCGGATGCATTCCGAAGTTCTTCCCTTTGTCTTGAAGCCTGAGGCTCCCCTGGTGCCTGGGTCCGACCTCCCAGCCCTCCAAACTTCTGCCTCCCTTCTGTTCCAAGCCCAGCCTCACCACAT